GCAGCCTCAGAACTCTAACATTGGAATTCTCAGGCCTTTTGGCCCTCGCAGACCCAGGCGTCTCCCCCTGTCCCTATTCCTTCCCAGTTGGGTTCGAGTTCTGGAAACAGCTGTGTGCCGAGCATGGTATCAGCCCGGAGGGCATCGTGGAGGAGTTTGCCACCGAGGGCACGGACCGCAAGGATGTCTTTTTCTACCAGGTGCCCCAGTACACTAATCTCCCTACCCCCCACCCCCACCCCCAGTGATCCAGAAGGGTACTGGAAACCACACTGGGCACAGCCCATTCCCCTCCCCCCCCCCAGCTTGAGGCAGGCGGGCAGGCATGAGCGAGGGTTGGGGGGCCTGAGGACCAGGCGGGCGCTGGCTGACAGGGCCCCTCCTTGGACCCCTGCTCCTAGGCAGACGATGAGCACTACATCCCACGAGCCGTGCTGCTGGACCTGGAGCCCCGGGTGATCCACTCCATCCTCAACTCTCCCTACGCCAAGCTCTACAACCCAGAAAACATCTACCTGGCTGAGCATGGAGGTGGAGCTGGCAACAACTGGGCCAGGGGATTCTCCCAGGTGTCAAATTCTTTGCCTTTCCCCAAGCCCCACTCGCAAAGCAAGGCAGACTTGAGCAACCTTGGAAGTGGCACAGACCAGATTGAACATAAGAGATAAAGTGATGCATTCATCAAGGGACAGCTGGAGAGAGGTTTTGTCAGATTTTTGTGTAAATCATCCACAAAGTATCATTTCTGCATTGAGGGCTGTAGCTGAGGCTCTGCTTTTGGGGGAGAGGTCGGCACGGTATTCTCTTGTCACCCTGACCATCTTTCCCGTGGCCCCATCCAGGGGGAGAAGATCCATGAGGACATCTTTGACATCATAGACCGAGAAGCAGACGGAAGTGACAGTTTGGAGGTGAGGTCCCTGCTCGCCTGGGATGCGGTGGGGAGGGGCTACAGAATGCCGAGGTGTCCTTGCCTGTTGACTGAGTCTCTGACTTGGGATATTGCTGTAGATAAGGTGCAGTCCTGGTTCTCAGCACCCAGAGGGCTTCAGCTTTTTAGGTCTGAATCCTTCAGCATGAGCTCAGCTTCTGTCTTCCCCAGGGGCATCTAACTAAGAGGACCTGCAGGAAGCCTTGCGACATGAGTGTGCTGTGAGGGGGTGGGTGAGATAAGCCTGAGCTCTCCTCCAGATCTCTGGACACTGTCCTTCACTCCACGTAGGGCTTCGTGCTGTGTCACTCCATCGCCGGAGGTACAGGTTCTGGCATGGGCTCCTACTTGCTGGAGAGGCTGAATGACAGGTAATCCCCATACCCCGACTCCACTTCCTCATGACCGGCTACACCCCCCTCACCACGGACCAGTCAGTAAGAGCAGCCATCAGGGTTCCCCGGGCCGGGGCCCTGAACCAGCCTTTCTCTCCTCCCATGGCAGTGCCCAGAGGCCTCATGCTCAGGGACTGGCACAGAGCAAGCGAAGGCCTCACTGCCATGTCTCCATCTTCCCTCTGCTCTGTGATCCTGTGTCCTAGGGGGCCATGGGGCCAGGAGAGGAACCCATGAGCCCTGGTCCCATGGCTGATGGCTGTCCTTTTTGTCCCCAAGAAGGTCTGCCCCCTAGGTACTCTTTTTGAGTAACAGGGACAAACCCACCCAGGTGCTTGCAGCTTCTGTAATTCTAAACACTGAATTCTGTGACCACCCCCCCCCCCCGCATGCAAGAGCTCAATGAAAAGAAATGGTGTCCATTGTCCCCAGGGAAGACAGCTATGCACAGTTGAATGGGCTTCCCTACTCTTCCCTTCTTCATCAACCTCAGGTACCCCAAGAAACTGGTGCAGACATATTCGGTGTTTCCCAACCAAGATGAGATGAGTGACGTGGTGGTGCAGCCCTACAACTCGCTGCTCACACTCAAGAGGCTGACCCAGAATGCAGACTGCGTGGTGAGTAAAGGCAGAGAGGGTCGGGGGCTGCAGTGTGCTGCCTTGCATCACGCACAGTCCTGCTCCGGACCCTGCACTGTGCAAGGAGCGTCGATTTTCAAAAATCAGGTCCCAGCCTCCTAGTTACTTACACTTTTAGGTGACAAGTTCCCCAATAAAAGGAGTCTTCCCTCCACCCCCAGCACCTACACTGATCTGCCCACTTAGGCTGGAATTCTCAGCTCAGATGTCACTTTTTTAACAGAATCTCTGCTGGCTACTCAGTCAAGCACAGCTCCCTTCACCATATTGCAGATTACAAACTTCATTCCTTTGTTTTATTCTTCATGCTAGCCTCCCCCCACCAAACTAGAGACTGGTGAACTCCGGTGAAGGCCATGGCCATGTGCCTCTCTGCGGGCAGTCCAGCCTAAGTGTGTAGCCTGTGGAGGCACTCACAGATGTGTTTATAGCTCTGCACTGCCCAAAGTAACTCAAACTGTCTCCAAAGAAACGTTTCTTTTGAAATTAACAAAGCTACTGATCAGTTTTAGAGCATAACAAGTACTGACCAAATCTTTTATTTTTATCCCCACCCTTTCTGTCTCCCCAGGTGGTGCTGGACAACACAGCCCTGAACCGGATAGCCACTGACCGCCTGCACATCCAGAACCCGTCCTTCTCCCAGATCAACCAGCTGGTGAGCTCCACTCCATCACATCGGACGCCCTCTTGCTGGAGGGCTTCTGCGGAAGGGAGGTCCTCCCCAGGTCAGGCCCATGACACGCCTTCCCGTCCCCAGGTGTCCACCATCATGTCAGCCAGCACCACCACCCTGCGTTACCCCGGCTACATGAACAACGACCTCATCGGCCTCATTGCCTCGCTCATCCCCACACCCCGACTCCACTTCCTCATGACCGGCTACACCCCCCTCACCACGGACCAGTCAGTAAGAGCAGCCATCAGGGTCCCCAGGCCGGGCCCTGAACCAGCCTTTCTCTTCTCCCATGGCAGTGCCCAGAGGCCTCATGCTCAGGGACTGGCACAGAGCAAGCTAAGGCCTCACTGCCATGTCTCCATCTTCCCTCTGCTCTGTGATCCTGTGGCCTGGGAGGCCATGGGGACAGCTGCTGTGGTGGCACAGGGACCCTGGGAGTTGCTGGGCTGAGAACCATGGAGATGCCCCTGCCACGGCAGACGGCATCTGCTCTGAGTCTGCAGGACATACATGTTGCCTCCTCTGCATCCCTGAATAGTGCCTTGCCTGCTGACCCCTGTGACCCATTGTCCCATGCCTCAGGTGGCCAGTGTGAGGAAGACCACGGTCCTGGACGTCATGCGGAGGCTGCTGCAGCCCAAGAACGTGATGGTGTCCACAGGCCGGGACCGCCAGACTAACCACTGCTACATCGCCATCCTCAACATCATCCAGGGGGAGGTGGACCCCACCCAGGTAGGGGAGCCACCTGCCCTCGAGCCCTGAAGCCACAGGGCTCCAGGAAAGAGGCCACCCTCACCCTCCCTGTGCCTGCCAGGTCCATAAGAGCCTGCAGAGGATCAGGGAGCGCAAACTAGCCAACTTCATCCCCTGGGGTCCGGCCAGCATCCAGGTGGCCCTGTCAAGGAAGTCTCCCTACCTGCCCTCAGCCCACCGGGTCAGCGGGCTCATGATGGCCAACCACACCAGCATCTCCTCAGTGAGTCTGCTGTTCTTTGGCTGCTCTGTTCCTCTGCCAGGGCCCTGTGCATTCTCAACCCCCAGTTCCTTAATCTCCCGCCCTACAATGGAATATTCTGAAGATTCCTACTTCCTTCAGCTCTTTGAAAGCTCCTGCCAGCAGTATGACAAATTGTGGAAGCGGGGAGCCTTCCTGGAACAATTCCGCAAGGAGGACATCTTCAAGGACAACTTTGACGAGATGGACAGGTCCAGGGAGGTCGTCCAGGAGCTCATCGATGAGTACCATGCAGCCACCCGGCCGGACTACATCTCCTGGGGCACCCAGGAGCAGTGACTTCCCTTCCCACCACTCTTCCTGGATGAGAAGTGGCCTCCACACCTGGTCCCTCCAGCCCAACCTCACTTCATGTTCACCCTTTCTAGATTCATCTCCAGCCCAAGAGCTGGCCCTACTTCCTCCCTGCTCTGCCCTGACCCTTGATATGCTTGTTCAGCTCTAATAAAGTAATAAAGCGTGTCTGTGAGCAGTCAGGATTTGTGCTGAACTGGGGGTGGGGGTGACGGGATCTCCGGTTTCCAGGCACAGGGTCGGAAGGTGGCCCCTGCCTGCTCTGGTCTCTTGCTGCTTAGTCTAGCTAATGTCCCATTTCCACTGGGGTCTCTCACCATGAACGACGGACCTGCCTTAGTGCAGCCAGCACTCTCAGTCACAGAAGATTATGGAGGTCAGCTGTCTAGTATCCAAGCTCTTACCTGGGGGTACATGGAGTCTGCCCTGACCTCTTGCCCTCAGGACAGAGGACGTGGGGCCTACTGCATTCTGAGCAAGCCAGCAAAGCCAGGATTCTGGATTTGTAGTGCTCAAGGCCTCTGGATTCCTAGGAACTAAACTTGATAAGCAGGAACAGGACTCAAGAGCCAAGTTGAAAAGGCAAATGGCTTTTCCAAGCCAGAGGAGTTCTTGGGTCTGTATCCTGCCCAAGCTCCTTTCCATTTCACATCCAAAGCAGCAGGCACACCAAAGGCAGACCCCAGCACGGGGGCCCGAAGCAGGACGCCAGGGGAGGAACTGGGCAGTGCCAATCCTGATGACTCAGTGCCCTCCAGCCTCAGGGATGCTGGGAGGCCACCCCTCACCACTCAGGGGCACAGGGTGAGTAATTGCCAGCTTCCAATACTGCCTTCTTGCTGGCCCCACCCACCTTGCCATGGCAACACACTGGTCAGGAGGAGGTTAAATCCAGGAGGTCAAGGAGGGTGGGGCTGTGTAGTGTCCAGGCTCCTCAGTGCCTGGTAAAAGTGCAGAGTGTGGGCGTCCCCAGGGGCGGAGCTCTGAGCTCCCGGGGCTTCAACACGACCCACCGGCAACAATGACGCTCCCACAGGAAGGCTTTGTGTAAATAAGATTTTTTTTTTTTTTTGCTTCTCTTCTACAAATAAATTAAGAAACAAACTAGAAAATCGTCCACACCCATAGCAGCTTTTGGGTGTGTGATGTACCCCGTCCCTGCAGGGCCCAAAGAGACCATGGTTCCCTCAAATCTCACAACAGTCCTGGCCCAGGCTGGAGGCAGGAGGGGAGTCACGACCTCTTGGCAGGCTCAGTGCTGCAGCTGCCCCAAGCAGCCAGCCTGTCCCTGGGGCTCATCCAGGCCCGAGTGCTGGCTGGGAGGGGAGGCGTCTGGCAGGTCTTGGCATGGAGGAGAAGGGCTGCGGGGCCTCTCGGGGGAGGGGCTGGCCAAGTAGGCATTCACTAGCTGCATGATCTCTTCCACCTAGGAGAGGGCAGAGGGCAGTGTGCAACAGGGGCGGCAGGCTTCTCTCTCCTCCACCCAGGCTCTGGGGCCCTACCTATACTTGGGCCTCTGCAACCTTTCCCTCCACATCACCATTTCTCCTCACGCTTGCGACATGTCCTCTTGTGTCTTTCTGCCCCCTCTAACACACCCAAGTTACTCTCCTGTAGCTCCCTCTACTCTGGCTGCTGTTTCCCAGATTTCCCCAAGGCCAGCTGAAATGCCACCCTGTTTGAGGAGTTCTCCCTGGCTACCCTAATGCCTGAGTCCCTGCAGTCCACAGCTGTTCGTTTCGTAGCATTTACCATTGTCTTCCATGGAGCCGGCTTGAGAGTCCTTTGTTCAGGTTCAGGCCCTTGTTTCTCCTCCCTTCTGGTATCCAGTCTTGACTGCTAACATCTTAGCACTGTACCTGGGCCAGGCTGGCACTCTGTCTCCTGACATCCCTTCCTTTCCCTTCTTCCACAACCCTCTGCCCACTCACCTGGGGGCTCTGCAGGATGAGCTGGTTCTCTCCCACCCTTATGGCCAGGGTGTGAGGGCCCATTAGCTGGCAGGCGGCAACATGGCCATAGCTGACACAGTGGATGGGTTCTGTCTCACCTGGCCGGGAGAGGGACATGGCCTTGGCTCCCAGGCCCAGGCATAGCTTCTGTGGAACACCTCCACCAGGTTCCTAAAGACAGACAAGCAAAGCACTATCTTTGGTTCTGGGAGATGGAACAGACAAAGGGCCTTCTCCATCCCTCTAGGATTCATAAGGCCAAGTGCCAAGGGGGCTATGGCTCCAGGGAGACACAGTCATGCAGGAGGTAGGATGGGGGATGGGGAAGGTGGGGCAGTGACGCCAGGGGTTTCGAGCCGGGCAGCCCAGCAGGCGCTCGCGGCTCTGGGGCAGAGGTGCTCAGCTCGGCCACCAGTCCCCCTTCTCCCTTCTCCCCTCACCGTGCTCAGCTCCAGAACGTCATACCGAGCAGCGCCAAACCCCGGACACTGCGCCGCCAGAGCCAGGTAGGCAGCCATGGCCTCCGCTCGGCCCATGCCTCGGAGCCGCTTCCAGCTGCCCAGCACCGCAGCTGCCGTGCCTGAGCTGGCGCCGCCATCTCCTTCTTCAGCGGCCGTGATTCTTGCCGGACGGCCCACCCCGCCGCGCCGGGCCCGCTCTGCCCGCCTCTTGGCCAGGCCAGGGTTCCACAGGGCCCCGGCCAGCAGGGCGGCGGAGGACGGTGGCCTGGGGATCGGGCAAGGTGGGTCTCCGAGAGGCGATAATAGGCAGTCCAGGCGCGGCAGGGACATCCGCGGCGAGAACTCCCGGTGCAGGCTTTGCAGGCGCAGCGTCGTCAGGGCGCGCAGGGTGTCATCAGGTGGGGGCGGCCGACCATGCAGTAGCAGAGCGTGACCCTGGAGGTGAGGAGGGGGAGGAAGTCACCTGGCATCAGGGGACCGGAGGCGGCAGCACATGGCAGACAGCACCGGGTAAGCAAGATGGCCCAGGAAGAGGGTGGCTCGGGCTCGGGCTCGGCCCGGGCTCGCACTCGGGCTCGGATGAGTTCGCGAGCGTCTCACCTGCTCAAAGACGAAAGGCAGTTCTTGATTGTCCGGGGACAGCTCCTCCGTGTCCATCGGTCCAAGTAGACGTAGACACAATCTACACCCCGAGTCTGGCGAGTCCTCCAGCTCGGGGTCCTCCACGGCCAGACTGCAGGTGGGGAAAAAGTGCAAGGCACTGGAGCCACCGGGCCCTCCGGGAAGAGGACCGCCGGGCAGGGCTGGGGAGCCGTAGGGGGCGGGACGCGTACGCCCGGGCGGAGCCTGGCGGGCCGAGGAGCCCGGAAGTGAGAGCGGGTGAGACCTGCCCGCGGGCAGGGTCCCATCAGCTAATCGCCAGCTAATCGCAGGGCTAATCGCGCCCGCATATCTCAGCGGATGGCGCGTGGCATCCACGTGGCCAGCGTTCCACCGTTTGCTTAGGGAGTGACCTAGACGGAACAGTAGAGGGACGAGTAGACCACAGGGCTGGGATTGGACATTTACTTCTCAAACCTGGTGAGCAGGTCAGCCATAAGGGTCCCTCCGGCCAGGGCTCGCTCCTGGGCTCCTCGCTGCTCATACAGCGCAACTGAGTTCTTACTCCGATCTAAGCCCAGTCGCCCTACCAGCTCTTCTGCCACCTAGAAAGGAAGTGAGGGGGTGGGAAAAGTCAGACCTTCCCCTCCCCTCCGGCCCCGCAGCCCGGGAGAAAACCAGGATTCTGGTCCAACGAGAGAGAGAGGGCGCAGAGTTCCTCCCTTGCCAAACTAATGACGCTTAGGGTTGGGGCAAAAGCGGGCGGAAGAAGCTAGAAAGACGGGCTAGCGGTGCGAGGGCCTCTCTGGGACCTCACCTCGCCCACCGTGGTGTGGGAGTCGATGGTCACCAGACAAGCACCAGCCTCCGGACAGTGCACCGTGCACCGTAGCTCCTGCCGGTGGCTCAGTGCGGTGATCTCCGCCAGCGACGGCACTAATTCGCGGCCGCGAGTCCGGCTCAGCGCCTTCCGGATGAAGCGCGCGTATTCTGCGAGTTCCGAGTCCGGCAGCGCCTGCTCCGTCCTGGGTGAGGAGGCAGGATCGCTGAGGTCGAGCTCCAAGCTCGCTGAGGCTCTCCCAGCGCCTCAGCCTCCCGGTCCTTGGAGCTCACTTGGTCTCCTCGGGTTCCTCCGCTCCAACTCCAGTTCCTTGAAGTTAGTGCCCAACTCTTCCATTCTAGGGCCCTTGGCAGCGAGCTCCTAACTGCTCCCGCTCACTCCCACAAGACTCGGTGATCCCTTTGCAGTCTGGACCCCCCCCCCCTTCCTCAGCGCGAGGAAAAGCAGCGCTCCAATATCATTTCTCAGCCCAAAGCAAGGGGCAGCCCTTTGTATGATCCCAACTGAGATGTGATTTTGACAATTCCCACAAGGGCGCTGTGTAATGTAACTTAGCAGCAGCCCTGACTCTGGGCAAGTCTCATCACTTCCATAAAAACCTTTTGCAAACCTCTCCCAGCCCTGCAGCTCTCTCACTCTGGCCTTAACCCCAGTCCCTCCCCTCTCACCTCTGCAGATGTCCCAGGAGGTGATCCCGCACGGCACACCCTGGTTGGAAGGTGCAACTCATGCAGGTAAGGAGCTGCCAGTACCGCAAGGTTGCGGGGTCTTCGGTGGCGGGGAGCCCCGGAGGCCCCTTGGGGCCTGAGGTCTGCTTAGCCAGCTGCAGGAAGAGTTCATCCTGGAGCGCAGGCAGGTCCTGGCAGGTTTGGAGCACACCCTGCATCAGGGGCCCGGGGCGCCGCGCCCCTTCCAGCGCCTGCAATGCCAGGAACAGCCGCACTGCCTCTTCGCGCAAGGGTGCATAGCCAGGACCTGTGGGAGGGTGGGGGTGGAGGGACGGTTTGGAGAGGGGACACAGAGCTGTGCCCTGGGAGGAAGGTAGCAACCAGGGGAAGGTCAGGTGAGAGGGGATGCGGAAGAAGGCACAAGCATAGGAAGAGTGAAGGGAAAGCAGTGGTCCCGAGTCTCGCACCTGCCTCCCAGCACTGCCCTCGCCCAGTCCTGCTAAGCCTGAACTTGGAATTAGTAAGGCACATGCACAGCGTGCAGGAGTCAGGCTCAAGCCCCAGATTCAGTCACTGGGTACTGACCGCCAGCACTATGGGGCCAGAAAACACACTGGAAGTGAGAAAACCAGGATTCTTCCCTCCCCCCCTCCCATCCTAATCCTCTGGCGTTAGGACCTGGGCCAATCACTACACCCTACTGGGGGAGGGGAGTAGAGCTGGATGAGACCAACACATTCTCCCCAGGTGGTGTCTTTCCCGTCCCTGGAAGAGGTGATATAACACAATCTTATGAGTAGAATGACAACTAGAATAGAGGTGGTCTAGCAGGGAAGCTGTTGGTTGGGATGGCCTCTCACTCCCAGCTCCAGCTCTTGGCAATGCAAACCCCAGGAGGCAATAAACAGTGGCTCCAGTCCTTGGCAACCTGCCACTCCTGTGGGAGCCCCAGGCTGCATTCCTAGGTTGCTGGTTCTCAAGTTCGATCTGGCCAAACCTCAGATTTTGGGGGGAGGCATTTTTGGAATGAACTAGCAGATGGAAATTATTTTTCTCTCTTAAATATATGTATATGTGTTTCATCTTTTAATAGACAACAAAGTATAAAAACTCTGGGAGGCTCAGCTGGTCGGTGATCAGAATAAAACCCGTGGGGAAGGGGGCCCCATTTTCTATGACCCTTCCCTCCTCTCTGCCCTGGCCAACTCCTACATCACCTTTGCCCTTTGCAAAGTGAGGTGCTGGGGAGGCCCCTGCCAGCTGCAGCATTCCCAGTCCTGTTCACTTCATCCTATCCAGGGCACCTGCACCATAGGGCCGCTCACCTGGGGGACTCACTCCATAGGGCAGCGGCAGGAGTGGGGCATAGAGGGCCCCACTGGTGTGTCTCAGGATGGGGTTCTGCTGGTAGATGAGTGCCACAGCCTCTGGGTCTCCACAATTCTCCTGGGGGTGGGAGTGGGGGAAGGTCAAACAGGCAGATCAGGGGGCTCGAGGCTATGGCCAGCTCCTGTGAGTACATCCTCCACCTGCCTGAGGCATTCCGGGTAGTGGGCGGTGGCTGCGGGTCCAGCCTCCGCCTGCCTGAGGCTCTCAGTCTCACCTCTATGTCCCGGAGCAGGAGCTGCGTAGGGGTCTCCATCGGTGCCTTGGAAGCGATCACTTCGCGCACCGCGGTCCCCCAGCGCTCTGCCTCGGCCTGGCGAGGGGAGCAGAGGCGGACACTGTGCTTCCTGCCAGACACTGTCACTGTCCACAGCCCTAGGAGTGAAAAGCGAGGCGGCGGAAGGCAGTCAGGACCGGCTGAGCACCCTCCCCTCCCCTCCCGCGCTAGGGAGGAACGAGAGGTTGCCCGAGGAGGTCTCACCAGTTTCCTTGGGCCTGCGCTCCGGGCCGTTCACAGAACACAGGCTGGTCAGCACCAGGCTCCCGAGGCGCCGCGCTCCCTTCCCGTTGCCACTGAACTGGTCCAGTGAGTCCCGCGTGAGCACGAACCAGGCCCGGCGCGGAGGCAGCCATGGCCGCGCTCCCCCACGGGGCTCCCGGTACAGCCAACCTGGTGGGTGGTAAGGCAAGAGGGGGGTCAGCAGGAGAGAGTTGGGGGCCGTCTGCAGGGCTACGATTGCAGGCTTCCCAGAGGGCACTCACCTTTCACTACGACATCCGGGTCATCCTCTTGCAGCCCATTCTCGGGGATGAGGCTCCATGTCTCCTCCCAGCTCTGCAGCCTGGAGTGGGGGGCGAGGGTTGGCCGAGGCTGCAGGGCCTCCGCTCCACCTCCAGGGGGCTCCTCCGGGAGGGCGCCCCAGACGGCAAGGGGTGCCCGCTTCCAAGATGGACAGCCCTCCTCCAAGCTGTGGGAACGGCCGGGCCATTCTGACCTCGTACCAGAAATAGCCAGGACCCCCCCACCTCACTCCTTTCCTCCCCAGGCCCCCAGCCGGACCGCCCCCGGGCCCCCAGCCAAACCACAGTGTCCGGCAGCTAGGGCCTCTCCCTTATTGCACAATCCCGGGAAGGAGGACAGCGAGGTTGGGGGGTCTTAGAGACTGACAGAGATTTAGGGAATATGAGGACATAAGGGTTAGGGAAGCTCACCTGTCGGAGACCTGCCCGCTTCTTCCTGGCTGAGTCAGCGTCACGTCCAGGGAACCCTGGAGAGAAAAGAAGTCCTCAGGATGGGAGATCTCCCTAGGTGATGTCCTTGGCTTCTGCCCCCTGGGGACTGCATGGCTCTGGACACGGAAGGAGTGAGGGAGCAGCCCGCCGGTCGCGCCTGAGGCGGACCCTTGGTCGAGCTCCACCGAAGTTGCAGCAGAGAAGCCAAGGGGCATGCCTTGTCTGTTAACTTGGGAGGCGCGCTCAGATGCGGTGCAGGGTGGAAAGAGCGCTGTGCGGAATTTGGGAGACCCGAGTTCTAGTAGCAGCTTGGACCATGCTCGCAACAAAGTCCCCTCCCGGCTCTGGGCTTTCCTTCGAAAGGGGAGAGAGTTGGCAGGAGCCTGGACAAAAAGCATTGACCTCCTAGTTTTCGCTTTATCTACTGTGAGACTCAGGAGTGAACAGGATAGAGACCCTGCCCCTCTGCACAAGTTTGTGAAAGGGAGGTCTGGCTGAAAAGCAGCATACAGCCCCAGACCAGGTGTGGCTGGGGCATTGTGTCTGCCTATTTCATCCAGCTTAAGTCCCATCCACCAGGGTCCGAGAGAGGCTGGCGTCCCAACCGACGGCAGAGCCAGTCAAGAACTATGCCATCTTCCCATGGCGTCTGGACTGCTGGAGTCAAGAGAGAAGGGATGGGGGAGGGAGGCCGGGGACACCTGTCCCCACGCTCCAGGGAGGGGGGGTTGGAAGTGGAGCACGAGGGAGGCAATGGCATGATTGACAGAACAAACCATGCCCGGGCTGGAAGTGTGGGGACGCTGGGGTCTTGCTGCTTCCCTGAGAATGTGTTCGTTTAGTTTCTGGAGCAGGGCTCTCAGAGGCACCACGGAGGGGGGGGGGGGCAGGTACTGACCACCCTTTTAGACCAAACTCCCCCAGTCCCAGTCCCTTGCTCCCCGCCCTTCTCTCCTCTATATTTATCTGCCCTCTGCCTCGCCAGGTGCTGGCTCGGGCCCCAGCAGCGGCGCAGCCCGCCCCACCCGGGCACTGAGCCACCAAGGCCTGCTGGGGACCCCTGAGCCCGGGCGGGGGATGGGAGCCTGACCTGGCCCAGTGTGCCGTGTGCAGGGGCCCCAGCGGGCGGGGCAGGGTAGGGAGGGTTCCCGCACCGACTATGCCTCAGTTTCTCCCACAAACAGAGCTGAGAGAGCCAGGCAGTCCGGGCCTGTGGCCCACATGCCTACAGGGATTCCCCAAGAGCCTCACCGGGGAAGGCTGAGCATTCTGTCCTGCGTGGCAGGGCAATGGCGAAGGGTCTTCAAAGAGCCGTGATCCCCCGTTCCGTTTCTGTGGGGCCCCTGCCACAGATCCCAGTCCCAGGACGCCTTCTCCCCCTCGCCCGGGTCCCTGTGGCGGGAGCTCCGGCATCTGGCCCCAACACTCACAAACTGGGAGCCCAGAGGACCCAGGCGTTCGAGCCGCCTAGCCGGCCTCGCCGCATTCCTTGGCGCTGGCGGAGGCGGAAGGAGACGGGATGGGACGCAAGCCCGAAGGGGAAGGGAGAGGCAGGGCCAGGTCGGGCCACGCGTGACGCCTCCCCTGCCTCAGGGCCCCCAGCAGGTGGACAGCGCCCAGCGTGCTGCACGAGGCCCACAGGCACATCCCGAGCAGGGCTGCTACTCCCGCTCCTGGGGGGAGGGGGGCGGAGGGACTGGGCCCCCCCCCCCCCGCTGGCCCCTAGGCAAGAATCTCCCTCCACGTCCCCAGTTTGCCAAAAGCTGGAGTCTGGAGCTGGATCAGGCGTGACGGCCGCTGGTAGCGAGAGAGAGCCACGCCAGACGCCAGATCCCCCCTCCACCGCCACCCCCTACTCACCCGTCGCCCCGACTTACCCTCCCGCCACCCGCCGGACTCGGGGTCCGCAGCTCAAAGGTCTCTTCGTCGTCCTCGTCGTCCCCGTCCCCGCTAAGCTCGCCGTCTCCGTAGTCTCGGTGCAGAAGAGTGAAGCCTCGACGGCAGCAGAGAAGCCACCACAATCCCCCGGGGAGAGGCATCCGGGCCAGGGGAGGGGGCTCCGACAGCCCTGGCGGAGCAGCAGGGGGTCGGAGAAACTGGCGGGGCTTCGACCTGAGTCGGTGGAGGGGGTATATGAGGCGGGAGAAAGTGGAGGGGGGAGCTGAGAGGCGGTCTGAGAGGAGGCGGTGTCCACCGCTGGGGTGCAAGGGGCCGCTGGCTAGAGCCTGAGGGGGAGGGGGGACTTAATGTCTGGGCCCCCGAGGGGGGAGGGGGAAAGGCGTCCCAGAGCCTGGCGGTGGGGTGGGGGGGAGGCGGGGAGGACAGAGCAATGTCCGGAGCTGGGAAGTAGTGTCCGTTGTAGTGTCCAGCCCTGCGGGGGGCAGTGTCCGGTGCAGTGTCCGAGGTGGGCAGTTGTCCAAGCTCCAGGGAGGGTCGTGTCCGGTAGGGCGTCCGGTGGCCGGGGCCCGGGCCGCGCGCGCTGCGCTCCCTGCAGCCCGGGGACTGGCGCGCTGGGGGCGCGAGAGCGCAGCGCTGGGACCCCGCCTCCCCAGCCCCCTCCTCCGGGCACCCCCTCCCTCCTCGTCGGTTCCCTCTGCTTTCTCTCCGCCCTTCTTTTACAGGGCAGGGTCCAGGTTTCGTCACAGCCTCCTCTGCCCAATCCCGGTGCCTGGCGCCGGGCGCGGCCGCCAATCACAAGGCTGAAACCGCGGCGGGTTGCATCATGTGCCCCTGGCTGGATGACAGCGGAGAGGGGCGGGGGATCGGGCGGAGGGGCGGGGCGACGGTGGCCACGCCCCGGCCTCGGAGGTCGGACGCGGGGTGCCAGTGGCGTCACGGGAGCCCGCCCTCCCGCCTCGCTTTAACTCCTGGTTCGCCCGGGCGCGGATTAACCCTTTCGAGGAGCTTGGGAGAACGAGGCGGGCACGCGCCCTCGTCTCTCCGTGGGGTGTCTGGGAAAGGGGGAGCGCCTCAGCCGCCTAGAAGGTGGCCAGACCTGCGCGGGACACAGCTCTGCCCCTCGAGTTCCACGTGCTGGGAGAGGGGAAGAGGCTGAGGCAGCGACTCCAGGGAGGCGCGGATCTAGGCGGGAAATAAAATCGAACTTGGAGCGCGCATCTCTCAGAGCACACGTAGGGAGTGGCTTGGAATTCTGGGGAGTTTCTTTTGGCCTGGGACTAGAGTGGAGGTTAAGAGCCTGCGCCTCTGGGTAAGACAGGGTTAATGGAGGCGCTAGCCGACCGGGGCGGAGTCGGGGCGCCGGGGTGTGGGGGGGCGCCTTGCTGACTCAGCGGCGATTCCCCAGGTCCCGGGCGGAGGGTGCCAGGTCGGCCCCCAGAGGATGGGGTGCGAGCTCGCCGCCTTCTCCCGGCCCCTCGAGGCCGTGGCTCGGCGTCTCAGCCGCCGCAGACTCCGGTGGCCCGCACGGCTAGCTTCGGGCCAGGCGGGGCGCGACAGGGCGGGGACTTGAGGCCAGCGCCTCCCTGGAGACCTCCTCTCCACGCCACACCCTTCTCGCCCCCTCGCCTCGAGGCTGGAGTGGCGGGGACAGCTTTGCTCGCCGGATGTTAAACCGCGAGACTTGTCGCACGTGAACGCCATCCTGCCCGTTGGCATGGTGTTAAGACAAAGACCCGGGATCAAGGCGACCCTCCCGGCGGTGCCCTCGTCCCTAAAGAGGGGAGCTTGTACTGAGATCTCCTGGGGATGGAGACGCCACGATCACAGGCTCCTTGCCCTGCCTGAATCCCGGGAGGGAAGTTCTTCTCTGTCGTCTCCCCGGTGAACACACAGCGCCTTTCCCCCCACTGAATCCTGTGGGAAAGTGGAGGCGCCTGCGCGCGCGCGCGCACACACACACACACACACACACACACACACACACACACTTCACGCCTGTACTCTGCCCTGGGGAAATTTGCAAATTGCAATTCTCTGCTTGCTTTTTTCCCCCCCAGGTGAAAGACTCTTGACTCAAGCTTAAGCATGACTTTTTGCTCTGCAGCCCAGAACTTCAGGAGCGATCCTAAAGTGGTAATTAATCCAAACGCCCACCCCAAACAGGAATCTCCTGCCCCATCACGACGCCCACACCTGACGCACGCACACGGACTTGGGGCAGCCGGTGGGCTCGCTGCTTGCTAAGACGGCCATGATCGGACAGGGCTTAGAGCCGCTGGCGAGCTCTTCCTAAGGTTTCCAAAGGAGGCCGCCCCAGGTGGCGGCGGGGGGTGGGCAGGAGCATGTCAAAGCCCATAGCCTCTCACCCTCACCCGGCTCTAGAGCCCGCCGCTGGGAGCAGGCAGGGGGCAGGGAGGGCGAAACCCACCTGCTAGAACCCCCGCTGCAAATTGCTTCGAAGTCAGTGACTCAAAAATAGTAACACTTGATGGGCTGCATCTCATTTCCATGCTATCAATTTTAATGTGAGGCAAAGGCGCAGAAGCAGCCATCCCTTTGGGTCCCAGCCTTTCTTAAGGTGCCCCTCCCCCGATCTTTCCCTCCGATCCCTACCCCGCCCCCTCCTTTGCATTTGAGGCTTTAATGGTCCCAGGAGAGACTGTGGGTCTCTGTGGGGGCCGAGCAGGAAGAAAGGCGGGGCCGGCGCGGGCAGCGGCGGCGGCCTGGGGATCTGGGGCTGCAACCCCCACCCCGAAGTAGCCTTCTCAGGTCCTGGCGGAAGCGCAGGCCCAAAAAGGCATAGAGCACGGGATTGAGGCCGCAGCGGGCCAAGGCCAGGCCTCCCGTCACCAACAGCGCTAGATCCTTGCGCTTGCTGGCAGGGCAGGTCCGCTCACGGGCTGCCAGGAGGTCGGCTGTGTCCAGTAGTAGGGCAAGACTGTAGGGCAGCTGCAGCACCACGAAGGCGGCCACCAGGGCCACCACGACGCGCAGCGCGCGCCGGCGCTCGGGCCCCCTGGCGGCCAGCAACGTGCGGCCCAGGAGCGCGTAGCAAGCGGCCATGACGGCCAGCGGTAGCGCGAAGCCGAGCACCACCTGCGCCACGGCGCTGGCTCCCTTCACCGTCTGCGCGAGGCCCTCGGGGAAGATGAGGCGGCAGCGCCGCAGGCCTTCACGCTGCCCGTCCTGGCTGAAGAGGAGCGCGGGTAGCGCCAGCAACAGCGACAGCAGCCACACGAGGACGGAGACCAAGTGCGCACGGCCTGGAGTGGCGGGTCGGGGTCCTGCTGGAAGCGCCCGTGCGATGGCCACATAGCGATCCGCGCTGATACACGCTAAGAAGAGGAAGCCAGCGTGGAAGGAGGCCGAGTACAGGCCGGAGATGGCGCGGCAGGTAGTGCTTCCAAGATTCCAGCCCTGAAGAACCCCTACAGCAGCGAATGGCAGGGTCAGGGCCAGAAGGAGGTCGGCCAGGGCCAGTTGCAGCAGGTGGGCAGCGGTGGGCGAGCGGGCAGTGCGTCGGGCAGCCAGGTGGGTAGCCAGGACCAGGCCGTTGCCAGCCAGACCTAGCGCAGCCACGGTCAGCGAGACGCTGGGTTGAAAGGTCCGACTGAAGGCCTGGACATCCGCCTTGTGGCAAATCTCTGGCAGCGGTTCTGCAGAGTAAGCTTCGTCATCCTCTCCAGAATAGGGGCCCCAGGAAACCTGGAGAGGCGAAAGGAAGAGGAGGGGCGTTAGAAAAACTCTTAACACACCTCCTCTTTTACCTGCATGTGTGTCTGCCCCACTTGGCCTGATGTGACAGAGGCCCCCCGGGGTAACACACAAACCTAGGGACCCTTGATGCTGCTCTGCAAATAGGTCTGGGCTTCCTTCAACTCCTGCTGCTTTCAGATCCCTGGGTGACCTTGAACTTTTCTGAACCTCAGTTACCCAGTAAGTGATGTCCCCTTGACAAGTCCTGGCCACGCTGGCTGCAGGGTTGGTGACATATGGAAGATGATGGAAGGGAAACACCTGTGTTTTCCACCGGCCACTGGCTTGCAGTACTGATACAGGCTGCAGCTCTGGGTCCCTCGGCAGCGCCCTCTCTTGGACAGACGCACAGATGTAGCCTTGGCCGCAGGTCTGGACCCTGAGCTGGAAGCTTTGTCTAGACTGGCTTCCTGTTCCCTTTCCCTTCTTTCTCCATCCTCCAGTGCACACACTCTCAACCACTCGTGCCCTCCCTGGAGGGGGTTGTGGGTGGCAGCCTTAAAATTCCTTGCGGACCTGGGGCCGCATGGTTCAAGCCGCTCTTCCCCCTCAGCGCCAGCTCTCCAACCTCAGCCTCACCCCACCAGCCCGTCCACCCAGGAGGGCGGCAGGCAGAGGTCATTCCAGGCTACCCAAAACCTGCAGCCAGGTGGGGAGGCCCAGCCCTCCCCCCTACCGCTCCCCGCCCCCAACAGCCCTTCTCCCCCGGCCCTGCCCCCACTCCCACCTGCTCTGTGGGCTGCGTCCCCATCTCTGGCTACAAGGGTTTCTGAGGTGTAGCCGCAGGGGCTAGAAGTTAAATAACTCGTGGGACAGGAAGGAAGGGGCGGGGAGAGGGGCTAGGAGGGAGGTGAGGATTTGGGTCCGTGGGCTCAACTTCCATTTTCTACTACCCCTAGAAGATGGCCTCTTTTCTCTGCATTTTTTTTTCTTTTGTTGTTGAAGAAAAAAATGCTGTGCCAGTTAGTGGTGGGGTCTTGAACCGGGCTATGAGCTGAGAGCCTCAGGTTTTTCACCTGCAGAGTGGAGTAAGGTGACAATGCTGAATTCACCATGTGCTCCCCCGACTCCAGGCCTCTGCCTCCTTTTCCCTCGGTTTTTCAGGTTCCTCTGGCACCCTTGCCTCCCCGCTAGGCCACCCCTGCGGCTTCTGAAGCTGCCAGGCTGTGGGTGCTGGGGTATTTCCCTGGTGGCTGGAGGCGCGCTCTACCCCCGCCCTTTCGTGGAGCGCGAGGCTGTGGCACGCGCTTGCGCGGGGCCCGGGAAAACGCGCGTGCCAGGAGAGCGAGGCTGGAGGAGGGGGGGAGGTGAGAGCAGAGAGGGTGGAAAGGAGAGGAGAGAGGAGACCGGGAAACGGAGAGAGGAGGGAGGAAGAGATAGGTGGGGGAGACAGCAGAAAGGCAGGGTGGGAGAGGTGGGCCAGGAGGAAGAAGCGCGGGTCGCTGCAAGCCCCAGCAGCCTGGAGGCTGAGTCCGCTGCGGAGCCCTAGCTGGAGTGGGGCTCTGGGAACCGGCTGCCCTGCACGATGCAGCCCAGGATCCTCTGCATCCTGCTTGCCGCCGTTTCAGGAGCTCAAGGCTGGGGCTACTGTGAGTGCCGCGCTCGGAGGCGGGCGGGGTCCGGCTGAGATACCCAGAGCCGGCAGGGCGGGTCCATGCGCCGCATTGCGGCTGGGTGGTCGCTGCTGCTTCCCGGGCTCTTGGCGCGCCGGCTCACTCCCATCTTCTCCTTGCTCTCCCCCGCGCTCCGCATTGCAGCTCCGAGGCTGCTGCGCACATGCTACAGGGCTGGGGCTAGAGCTGGGCTCCGTCAGGGCCGGGATTTGGGGCGGATATCCAAACCCAAGCTAGTGCCTGGATTTGAGACTCGGGCTGAGCCTAGGATGATCTGGGCTGGGGATGTTGCCGGAGGATGGGGCTGGACTTTGGAGCTGGCCCAGGGACTGGGGTTTGAGGCTGGGATCCAAGCAGTAGTGGGTGACCCTGACCTAGAGGGTGCTGCTACTGCTGGGGCTTGGGGAGCTAGTAGCAGTGGGTGCTGGCAAAGTCTTACATCTGGGGTTCAGGTTTGTGGGGAGCTTAAGGCTGGGGCTGCCTGGGTGTCTTGGGCTGGTTTGGATGCTGGGAGCTGCTACGGTTTAGGACTGTGTTGGGGGTGGGTGATGAATCAGGGCAGCTACTGGGCACCAGGCCCACAGGTTCCCCTCTGGCAGGAAAGGGAGCGTCCCTTGGGTGTGCAGCTGTTGCCGCGCTCCCTGCTGGGAGATGGGGCTGGGTCTTGCGGCAGCGGACGCAAGGTGGTGGTGGTGGTTGGAAGGGAGCGGGCAGACCCAGGTGTCAGTGGTACTGGCACTGACTGGCTGGCTTGCTCTCCCAACCCAGATGGCTGCGACGAGGAGCTGGTGGGGCCCCTGTATGCACGCTCTCTGGGTGCCTCCTCCTACTACGGGCTCTTCACGGCGCCACGCTTCGCCCGTCTGCACGGTGAGCACGCCACCGCGTGGTCATGCAAGGGACTCCCCGGGGCTGGGGTGGGGGGAGAGCGCGCATTGATATCCCTAACCCTTGTGTAGGTATAAGTGGATGGTCACCCCGGATTGGGGACCCGAATCCCTGGCTCCAGATAGACCTCATGAAGAAGCACCGGATCCGAGCCGTGGCCACGCAGGGTTCCTTTAATTCTTGGGACTGGGTCACACGTTACATGCTGCTCTATGGCGACCGCGTGGACAGCTGGACACCCTTCTACCAGCAAGGGCACAACGCGGTACTCCTAGCGCCCAGGCGCACACACCTGGAGAGCCTTCTCTGCTCTGGGCTCAGGGCTGGGTAACCCCTTCAAGGAAGAGAACAGGGTGGCAGTGAGGGTCCAGGAGAGGAACCTTAGAGCTGCCGGTTCTCTGTGTGGGCAAGACTCTTTCAGATCTCCGGGTTTCCATACACACACAGGTGGTGTGAAATCCCAGGGGGCTCCTGGAGGAGGTGGCATGCACCTGGACTTTTGTGGAAAGAATATGCTGGCGGGAGGGGGCACACTCCAGGCTAGGGAAACTGCACTGGCACTACTTCTGCCGCCGCTGCTGCCACCATGGTCACTGCTGAGCTACCAAGGCGGGGGACCATCCCGCAGGGTTTGCTTTGGAAGCCGATGGGCTGGGAGGCTTAGAGAAAGGCAAAAGAAGATGCAGGGGAGGTTTTAACTCATTTTGCCTCCACCCCACAGACCTTCTTCGGCAACGTGAATGAGTCCGCAGTGGTGCGCCACGACCTCCACTATCACTTCACAGCGCGCTACATCCGCATCGTGCCGCTTGCCTGGAACCCTCGTGGCAAGATCGGCCTGAGGCTGGGTCTCTACGGCTGCCCATACAGTAAGGGCGCGGAGGGCGCGGAGGGCGCGGAGGGCGCGGAGCGAGCGGCGGCACGGTGTGTGTGCGCGTGTGTATGCATGCGTAGGCGGGCTGCCCATACGGTAACGGCTCAGAGGCACGGTGTGTGTGCGCGCGCGTGCGCAGGGGAGATGTGTGGCTACCGCCAGCCTGGGCTCGCCAGCTGTCTTTTCGCTTTCTACACAGAGTCCGACGTACTGTATTTCGATGGTGACGATGCCATCTCTTACCGCTTCCCGCGAGGGGTCAGCCGAAGCCTGTGGGATGTGTTCGCGTTCAGCTTCAAGACAGAGGAGAAGGACGGGCTCCTATTGCACGCCGAGGGCGCCCAGGGGGACTATGTCACGCTGGAGCTGCAGGGCGCACACCTGCTGCTACACATGAGCCTGGGTGAGCGACCCGGGTGGCCCAACCCAGAGTCGCTGCTATTCCGCTTGCCGTTGTGCGGGAACCTAGCCATTCCTTTTCTGGCTGGCCGGGCCGTCCACCTTTGGCTAGGGAAACGGTGTCATTTGGTGTCAGGATTTGGTGTCAGCAGAGCCCTGGCCTCTGCCAGGAGGGCTGAGTTGTGAGCTCGGGTAAAGCCCTGCTTCAGCCTCACGGCAAACTCATGGAGAATCGTTGTGATCGGTTGTCTCCTGAGCTTGTCACCTGATGTGAGAGAAGCGGCTTTCAGCCTAAGGTTTTATAGTTAGGATAGCAGAAGTTTGCCCCAGTCAGCGGCCCCAGGGCACTGGGTGTGGCTCTGGGTCCTGCACCTGCTGGCGGGAGGGCTCACTCGGCCCCGCCCCCCACCCAGGCAGTAGCCCCATCCAGCCCAGGCCCGGGCACACGACGGTGAGCGCCGGTGGCGTCCTCAACGACCAACATTGGCACTACGTGCGCGTGGACCGCTTTGGCCGCAATGCCAATCTCACCCTGGACGGCTACGTGCAGCGCTTCGTGCTCAATGGCGACTTCGAAATGCTGAACTTGGACACGGAGGTGAGGCCGCCACAGGGAAGTGCTAGAGGCCAGTGCATGCGGGCTTGGGTGGAGCAGCGTGGGTTGTGGGGGATGCCTGTCTCCCTCCTGCGGCTGAAAAGTTTGCTTTACCGCTCCGAAATTTCGAAGCTGTCCGCGGCAGAGCGTCAGATCCTCCGCAAGATACGGGCCGCTGCGGAGGCCGCGGCTCGCTGTTAGCATGCCTGTGCCCGGGGTGCCCACCACCCCGAAACTTCTGGGATGCAGTCTGGGAATCAATCAAGGGAGGAAGCGTGTTCACTTGGTTCTTCCCACAACCATGCGGAAGGGGCCAACACCACCCCATCCCATCTGCAAAGCAAGAATCCCAAATGGGTTCGTTGTCTGTGGGGTCCTGCGTGCTTGGAGCCTGGCTTGGTGTGTGGGAACGTGCAGGGCGGGACAGACAGCCTCCCCATCAGCCTCCTCCCCCCGCAGATGTTCATCGGGGGCCTGGTGGGTGCCACACAGAAAAACCTCGCATACCGGCACAACTTTCGCGGCTGCATGGAGAACGTCATCTTCAACCGAGTCAACATCGCAGACCTGGCCGTGCGGCGCCATTCGCGGATCACCTTTGAGGCTAGTGGTGCGGGGGCACTGGGAGGGTGGAACCCCGGAGCCACTGGCCAGGCAGAGCTGGGGCGGAACACCCCTCCTTCGCCAGCCGCCAGATTCTCAAGTGTGTGTGTGGGAACGGGGGCAATAATCCCGCAAGGCACATGGGTCAGCCTCCACCCCCACCCCGTGGTGCTTCACCAACCCATGTGAAATGGTACTGCCGGGCCAAGGCGAGCTCGGGGTTGACGCTGCCTCGTCTCGCCCCTAGGGTAAGGTGGCGTTCCGTTGCTTGGACCCCGTGCCGCACCCCATCAACTTTGGAGGTCCGCACAACTTTGTGCAAGTGCCTGGGTTCCCGCGGCGCGGCCGCCTTGCTGTCTCCTTTCGCTTCCGCACGTGGGACCTCACGGGGCTTCTCCTCTTCTCCCGCCTGGGTGACGGCCTGGGCCACGTGGAACTGATGCTTAGCGAAGGACAGGTCAACGTTTCAGTGGCGCAGAGTGGCCGCAAGAAGCTGCAGTTCGCTGCCGGTGAGGGCTCAAGAAAGACTGTGGAGCTCAGGCAGGGGAGCGAGGCCGGGGCTTGCTGGCGCGGGGAGGGAGTGGCTGGAGGCAGTTCTGAGAAGCTGGGAGGCCTAGAGTTGTCTGGCAGCCATTCTGACTCTGCAGGGTCACCTGCTGGGGTCACACAGAGAGAAATAGGACTTTCAGAGTTGTCCTAAGTAGCAGGGGAGGCGGCACAGCGGGGGACACACTCCTGCTTCCTCTCTCCCTCTCCTTCCTCCTCCCGCCTCCCCTGAGCCTGCACCTGCGCCATTCTTCCTGTCCCCAGGGTACCGTCTGAATGATGGCTTCTGGCATGAGGTGAATTTTGTGGCCCAGGAAAACCAGGCAGTCATCAGCATTGACGACGTGGAGGGGGCAGAAGTTAGGGTCTCCTATCCACTGTTGATCCGAACAGGGACCTCCTACTTTTTTGGGGGTGAGTGGAGACCAGTGTCTCAGGGTGAGGGAGGGGAGAGGGAAGACACACAGAGAGGAGCCTGCTGGCACCTCTGGACCCCTGGGGAGTGGAAGCTCACGTCTGTGGTTGGCCTTTTCTCGCTCCTGGGAAGGGCCTTATAGCAGTTTGGTTGTTGCAGGTTGTCCCAAACCAGCTGGCCGATGGGGCTGCCACTCAAACCAGACAGCTTTCCATGGGTGTATGGAGCTGCTCAAAGTGGATGGGCAGCTGGTCAACCTGACGCTGGTGGAATTCCGGCGGCTTGGACACTATGCTGAGGTCCTCTTCGACACATGTGGCATCACGGACAGGTACCTTTCCCAGGAGTCTGGGAACCCCCTGGGCTGCCAGCAATAGGGCCTTTCTCACCTCCCATCTTCTTCTGTTGACTCAAGCTCAGAGTAGAAATAAAGCATGTACTGTTGGCCTTAGAGAGTGAGTGTGTGTGTGTGTGTGTGCGTGTGTGTGTGTGTGTACATGTGTGCACTGGTGGAGTGTAGGATAAGGCAGTTTCTGTTCTCTGGGGTGGAAAGGGGAGGGGGACCAGGAATACTTGAGGCCCAGCAGCATCCAATGCCCCTGCACCTGGTGAAAGAGCCCTGGTGTGCCCCAGGGGGACCTGGGAAGCGGCCTAGAGCTGCTGCAGAAGCTTCCTCTGCCTCCCAGTGAGCTTCCATCCCCTGGGCACTGACCCCTGGCCTAGGTGTAGCCCTAACATGTGTGAACATGATGGCCGCTGCTACCAGTCCTGGGACGACTTCATCTGCTACTGTGAACTCACAGGCTACAAGGGGGAGACCTGCCACCAGCGTAAGCCACCGGGGTGCTGGGGACAGCCAGGACCAGGACCGGGAGGCTGGGTGTGGGGGAGGTGAGGGGAAGGAAGGCCACTGAGAGGAGGGGATCCTGCCCTCCTAGGCCCCCCCCACCCCATGATCACCTTCTCCCAACTGCACTACCCACCAGCTTTGTACAAAGAGTCTTGTGAGGCTTATCGGCTCAGTGGGAAAACATCTGGGAATTTCACCATTGATCCTGATGGCAGCGGCCCCCTGAAGCCCTTCATGGTCTACTGTGATATTCGAGGTGAGAGGCTCCAAAGGGTAGCAAGGGGCAGTTGACCTGGCAACCGGGGATGTGGCAGGGAGGAGGGGCGTGGCAGTGAGATTAAACCCAGAAGGAGAAGGATACACTAAGGGATTTGTTACCGACCCATTCCGGCCTCCCCTGTGAGGGCGGGGCTGGGCTGCAGCACAGCTACTGGCTCCATGCCTTGACTCTGGGCTGCACTGGTGTGGGGGTGCTGGGGCTGTGGGGAAGTGGGAAGAGAGATGGGTGGGGAAGGCCCCCATGTGCAGCCAAGGCTCTGTGCCCTTCCTTGCTCCCAGAGAACCGGGCCTGGACGGTGGTGCGGCATGACAGGCTGTGGACCACACGGGTGACGGGCTCCAGCATGGATCGGCCCTTCCTGGGGGCAGTGCAGTACTGGAACGCGTCCTGGGAGGAGGTCAGCGCCCTGGCCAACGCCTCGCAGCACTGCGAGCAGTGGATCGAGTTCTCCTGCTATAACTCCCGCCTGCTCAACACGGGAGGTCAGGGCCAGTGTCTGGGAACCCCTGAGAGGGAGGAGGAGAGAGAGAGGAGGAAGCAGGCAGGAGTCTGGGCTGGAAGCTGATGGAGGCACAGGGCCTAGAAGCTGCCTTTCTCGCCCCTCTTTCCCTCTTCCTGCCAGGAGGCTATCCCTACAGCTTCTGGATTGGCCGTAACGAGGAGCAGCATTTCTATTGGGGAGGTTCACAGCCCGGGATCCAGCGCTGCGCCTGCGGGCTGGACCGGAGCTGCGTAGACCCTGCCCTGCACTGCAACTGTGATGCTGACCAGCCCCAGTGGTGAGTGGGGCAGGGCCCCTGGGGTCGGCTCAGCATCGCAGGGGCAGCTGAGTGGCAGGGCCTGAACCGGCGCCTCCCGCCCCGCAGGAGGACTGACAAGGGCCTGCTGACCTTCGTGGACCACCTGCCCGTCACGCAGGTGGTGGTGGGCGATACAAACCGCTCCACATCGGAGGCCCAGTTCTTCCTGAGGCCTCTGCGTTGCTATGGCGACCGTGAGTGGCAGGTTCCTTCTGCATGCCGCCCTCACGCTGGCTCTTGCGGGTCCAGAGTGTAGGCTGCTTGGGGTGGGGTGTGGTGTCTTTGGGATGCACTGGCAACTGCTGCTGCTGCTGCTGTGATCTGCCCCTCATTGTGCTCAGGACTGGCCCCTCCCCTAACTCCTTACCCTGGGGCCTCCTGGACAAGTCCTTGCTGTCTGCCATTCTGCAGGAAATTCCTGGAACACCATCTCCTTCCACACTGGGGCTGCGCTGCGCTTCCCTCCGATTCGTGCCAACCACAGCCTCGACGTGTCTTTCTACTTCAGGACCTCAGCTCCTTCTGGGGTATTTCTGGAGAACATGGGGGGCGCCTACTGCCAGTGGCGCCGGCCTTATGTGCGACTAGAGCTCAACAGTGAGCAGGCGGGCTCTGGGAGGGTGACGGGCAGGTGGGTGGGCACAGGCCTGGGGGCGGGCAGAAGCTGGGGTAGGAAGACTAGCCACTGGGAGAGGTGACTAGGGAAGGGCTCAGTGGCCCTGGATTGGCTGCTGTGTGTCCATGGGCACTTGCTTTGCCTATTGGGGCCTTGGTCCTCCTTACCTGTGAAAAAGAAAGGAAGCTGGACTCCTGGGATCTCCCCACCTTGGAGGAACTGTGGGGCTAGGGACCACAAGTCTTGCCTGCAGCCCATGGGCATGAGGCTTTAAGCCATTTAGAGAGTGTGTCACAGGCCAAGGCCAAAGCCAAGGTCAGGGGCCAGGGGAGGAGCCCCAGAAAGGTGAGGAAGGGAGGCTGGGAAGGACCCCACAGGCCTGAGCCTGCCCCCGTGGCCCTGTCCAGCATCCCGGGATGTGGTCTTCGCTTTCAACGTGGGCAATGGGGATGAGAACCTGACGGTGCACTCGGAGGACTTTGAGTTCAACGATGATGAATGGCACCTGGTCCGAGCGGAAATCAATGTGAAGCAGGCCCGACTACGTGTGGACCACCGGCCCTGGGTGCTGCGGCCCATGCCCCTACAGACCTACATCTGGCTGGAGTATGACCAACCCCTCTACGTGGGTGAGCAGCAGCTAGAGGTAGCTCTGGGGCACCCTTGCCCATCCCACTTTCTCAAGACTGGTCTCTGGGCTTCTGGTCCCTCTGCTTCATTTGCAGGCCAAGGTTCCCCCATTTCCCTCCAATCCCTGGCAGCCCCCTCCCAGCTTCTCCCATCACCCACTCCTTGCCCCGTCTGTTCTCAGGGTCTGCAGAGCTTAAGAGGCGCCCCTTTGTGGGATGCCTGAGGGCCATGCGTCTCAATGGAGTGACTCTGAACCTGGAGGGCCGTGCCAATGCCACTGAGGGCACCTCGCCCAACTGCACAGGCCGCTGTTCTCATCCCCGCTTCCCCTGTTTCCACGGAGGCCGCTGCGTGGAGCGCTACAGCTATTACACGTGTGACTGTGACCTTACGGCTTTCGATGGGCCGTACTGCAACCACGGTCAGTTGGCTACCCGGGGCATAGCCAGGTGTAGGGGAGAGTAGGGAAGGCGGGGGGTCTATAGCCAGTGTCAGGGAAAATGTCATCACTGGGTTCCTGAGCTTTGAGCTGGCAGGTGAAGATGCTGGTAGACTCCAAACCATCAAATAGGACGGGGCATGGCTGGTCCCATTTGCTGGTGTACAAAGAACTCAGAAACATCAAACCAGTCCCTTTCCCCTTGGTCCTGCCACCTCCAAGGTCACGGGCTGTTACCTTACCTACACGTAGCCCTCGGCTCACTGTGGCCTTCCAGGCCATTTCCTGTTGACAGCTGCTGTGCTCCAAAAACCTAGCCCCACCCTGGTTCTTGCTTAAAGCAAACCTTGACATTGCGCATAACATGACTGTACACACGTACGCAGGTTGCAGCCTCCTGGAAACTGGCCTGGACAGGGCAGGAGTCCACAGGCAGCTGGGTGGCTGGGCGGGGGGAGGGGTGGTTGTGGCAGACAGCGGACAGTGGACTTCCGGACCTGGATTGGAAGTGGGAGGAATGCCATGGCATGTACGATGGATGGAATCAGGCCAGCTCTATCCTTATCTTGGCTGTCCCTTCCAACATGCTCTTAGGTCAGTTATCAGCTATCTCTGGGCCTCTGCGTCCCCTTCTGTAAAATGCAGAGGTAGGGTCCAGTGAGCTCTTGGCCTTGTCGGGGCATTAAGATTCCATGTGGGACCCACAGGTACATGCAACAGGTTGGGGATGGGGATGGAGATTTTTTTTTTAGAAGCAATATGATTTTATTTAATTACACTGGAAACAACCCCAAATAATGTCTGAACCCAAAGTTACATAAAAAATGGCCCCAAATAGTTAACTGCTTTGAAGATCTGCAGTTTCCATAGTGTGAAGGCAGTCACAGCGAGGTCACCAGCTTCAGCCACGCACGGTGAGACAGACGCCCCTACCCCGGGAAGAGGCTCGGGTGCACTTGATGCTCTCCTTGCCAGTGTCGCTCAGCTGACCCCAGAAGGGGCAGTCCTGGTGGTGACTGTCCCCGCCCGTCATGTTACTGCTTGTTCTTCTGGCCATCCGTGACATGAGGACACAGACCCCTGGCCCTTGTTGACGTCATTGCCCATCCACCGACTCCTTCACAGCGTCACCTTATTGGGGGACGGAGATTTTAACCAGTGTCAGTCAGTGCGTGTGTGTGAGCCACTCAGAGCCTCAGAGTTGGGAAGCGAGGGGTCAGGGGTCCCTTCACCTCACTGCCTCTACCTCCAGACATCGGCGGCTTCTTCGAGCCAGGCACCTGGATGCGCTACAACCTGCAGTCAGCCCTGCGCTCTGCAGCCCGTGAGTTCTCCCATATGCTGAGCCGGCCTGTGCCAGGCTATGAGCCTGGCTACATCCCTGGCTACGACACTCCTGGCTACGTGCCTGGCTATCATGGCCCCGGGTACCGCTTGCCTGACTACCCACGGCCTGGTCGGCCCGTGCCCGGTTACCGTGGGCCTGTGTACAATGTCACGGGAGAGGAGGTGTCCTTCAGCTTCAGCACCAGCTCGGCACCCGCGGTCCTGCTCTACGTCAGCTCCTTCGTGCGTGACTACATGGCTGTGCTCATCAAGGAGGATGGTGAGCGCCGCTTCGGCCCTCCCAACCCTGCCCAGGCTGGCGCCCCATACTGACACCAGCTGGGTACAAGCAAAACCCACCCTTTTCCTCCCTCCCCATAGGGACCCTGCAGCTGCGGTACCAGCTAGGCACCAGCCCCTATGTGTACCAGCTAACCACGCGACCAGTGACCGACGGCCAGCCCCACAGCGTCAACATCACCCGAGTCTACCGCAACCTCTTCATCCAGGTATGGCAGGGGCAGGGGAGACCTCAGATCACAAGCTCATGCCCCCCCGCTCTGGTGCCAGCACCCCACATAATGTCAGCTGCAGAGGACTGCCATGTCCTCTGCCTACTGGGCCCTCCCAACACCCCAGTGCAGTGGTACAATAAGTCAGTGCCAAGAGGAAATTGTTTTTCCCAAAGTCAAATTTCTAAGACAGACCTCAGGGGCCGGGACTATGGTTCAATTGGCTAATCCTCCCCTTGCAAGTGCCAGTATCCCATAGAAGTGCTGGTTCATTTCCTGGCTGCTCCACTTTCCATTCAGCTCCCTCTTTATGGCCTGTGAAAGTAGTCCAGGATGGCCCCTTTGGGCTCTGCACCTGTGTGGGGGACACAGAGGAGGTTCCTGGTTCTTGGCTTTAGATCAGCTCAGTTCTAGCTGTTATGGCCATTTGGGGAGTGAACCAGCAGATGGAAGAGCTTTCTCTCTCTTTCTCTTAGTAAATCTGCCTTTTCAATAAAAATACATAATTTGTTAAAATGGTCTGAAACCCAGGCTGGTTTGCTGCTATTGATTTGTTTGTTTGATTCATTGATTGACTGAAATGCAGGGCAACCAGAGAAGGAGGGCAGGGGACAGCCAAAAAGAGAAGTCTTCCATCCTCTGGTTCACTTCCCAAACTGCCACAGCAGCTAGGTCTGGGCCAAGCTGAAGCCAGCAGCCAGGAATTATATCTACATCTCTCACATGGGTCGCAGGGGCCCAAGTCCTTGGATCATCATCCACTGCGTTTCCATGTACATTAGCAGGGAGCCGGATTAGAAGTAGAACCAGGAGCCAGCACTATGGCAGAGCAGGTTAAGTCCCTCCCTGCCTGTGATGCTGGCATCCCCTATGGATGCTGTTGCACTTTTGATCCACCTCCCTGCTGATGCGCCTAGGAAAGCAGCAGAAGAAACACCCACGCTAGAGACCTGGTCGAAGCTCTGAGCTCTTAGTTCTGACCTGGCCCAGACCCTGGGCTGTTGTAGCCATTTAGAGAGCAAACCAGCAGATGGAAGATCTCTGTCTCTCCTCCTCTCTCTGTAATGTAACTCTGTTTCACTTAGTTCCCAACTGATGGCTCACTTCCCAGGTTCCCACGATGGCAGAGGGCAGAAACCAGGAACTGTCTCTCATGTGCTTGCTGGAAATCCATTTACTTGAGCCACCCTGGCTGCCTTCCAGGGGCACATGAAGAAACAGCTGGAGTCAGGACTCAGAGTTGAGGCTCCAATCCATGCCCCCAGATGTGGAACTTGGGAATCCTAGCTAGCATCTTAACCTTCACTCCCTGTATCTAACCCCTGACTGAGTGGTTTTCTTAAACACACTAAATCCTACCCCTGGCTGGCAGCTGCCCGCTTGGCCACATTCAGCGCCATCCCCTTCACCCCCCGGTATCCAGGTGGACTACTTCTCCATGACAGAACAGAAGTTCTCCCTGCTGGTGGATAGCCAGCTGGACTCACCCAAGGCCTTGTATCTCGGGCGCGTGATGGGTAAGCAGAGGGTGCACAGCAGCCAGACCCTGGAGCCTGGGGCAGGGCTGGGGGTGTGGCAGAGAGGGGCGGGATGCGGGGCGGGACCGGGGAGGAGGTGGTCCGAGCCCTTCTCTGTCTCAGAAACGGGGGTGATTGACCCGGAGATCCAGCGCTACAACACCCCGGGTTTCTCGGGCTGCCTGTCCGGTGTTCGGTTCAACAACGTGGCACCACTCAAGACGCACTTCCGCAGCCCCCGGCCCATGACGGCGGAGCTGGCCGAGGCCCTCCGCGTCCAGGGGGAGCTGTCCGAGTCCAATTGCGGGGCCATGCCGCGGCTGGTCTCGGAGGTGCCGCCCGAGCTGGATCCTTGGTACCTGCCCCCAGGTACGGCCGAGCCTGGCGTGGCGCATGCGCGCACACGTATGTGGGAGGGGCGGCAGGGAAGCGAGCTAGCGCCCGGGCGCGCGGTCCCGACTGCCGCTTTCTCCTGCAGACTTCCTCTACTACCACGATGACGGCTGGGTCGCCATTCTGCTAGGCTGTGAGTAGCCCTGCTCGGCCGCTAACCCTCAGTTTCCGTGCAGGGATTCTGCCCCGTCCCCAGCCTGAGGGGTCTCGCGGGTGGTGGGATGCCTGTTGGTACAGAGAGACCACCGCGAGTGTGGTGTATGATCGGGCCGCAGATTCCCTGATATTTAAAGATCCTCTGGAAGTATTGAAATGGGGCTACAGCTGAGGACTGAGGAAATACACCAACAGCTGGGGAGATAAGAAACTGGGAAACCCCAGGGATACAGAAAGAGGGTGCTGGAATTAGAAGTGAGCTGAGGGCCAAGCCAGGCGTTGAGTTTCATGGGGTCATCTGGCTAGTTCTGGTGCGCATGTGTCAAGATGGTATGTACCTGAGTGTGTGTGTGAGAGAGAGGGCGCGAAAGCGCTGACAGTTGCTCTGTGTGTGTGTGATAGCACTGACGGTTGCTGTTCTTGCTTGCAGTCTTGGTGGCTTTCCTGCTACTGGGGCTGGTGGGCATGTTGGTGCTATTCTACCTGCAGAACCACCGCTACAAGGGCTCCTATCACACCAATGAGCCCAAGGCCGCCCACGACTACCATCCCAGCAGCAAACCCCACGCTGCAGGCGCTGCCCAGACCCCAGCCCCAGCCCCAGCCCCAGCCCCAGCCCCAGCTCCCAACCCTGCCCTGGCCTCAGCCTCAGCCCCAGCCCCGGCCCCTGGCCCAGCCCCAGCCCCTGGCTCAGGCCCAGGCCCAGCTGCAGCCTCTGGTCCCCGGGGTCAGACCCTACCCCGAATCTCGGAGGAGGGCAAGTCTGAATGAGTAGGGAGCAGGGGCTGCAGGGCCCAGCTCCTCCAATCCGCCCCCCCCTTCCCTGCCGCAACAGACATCTGGCCCCACCTAACCAGCTCTGCTCCAGAGACACCCCACCCCCCACCAAGTCTGGCAGGCAGAGCCACAGAAGGGAGCCGAGGGAGGGGGCCTCACTGCCTACACTCACTCTGGCCCCCCACCCCCACAGACTCCTGGCTCTGCGCCTGCCCCAGGGAAGCCTCTCGGGGGACAGGCCAGAACGGCCCTGCCCGCCCTCACCCTCTCCGTCCCAGCTGCTGGGAGGGATTAACCAGAGTGCTGGGAGATTAACTGCCTCCCTCCCCGTGGCAGGGACAGCCGCGTGTGCGTGTGTGCAGGCAGCAGGGCGGCCTCCCTTCCCCCGCTCCCCGCCCGCCCTGCCCTGTTGGCTCCCACCTGCTTCCTCTCCACCCTGGTGGGTGAGGGGGGCCTCACTGATGTCCCCAACCCACAGATTTCGTTTTTTGCACAGAGACCAGAGGCCTCAGTTTAGCACCTCAGTACCTCCGTTGCTTCACTGCTTTAGCCAAAGCCATAAGGAACCTGCTGTGTAGAGAAGATAGCGCAGACACGCTGCCTGGCCAGCCCCCTCCCGCCCTGCCCCCTTGCCAAGCTATGCAGTCGCCTTGGGGCCTGACCCAAGGCTCCGCCCCCTCTCCAATGCACGCGAGCCCTCGCTCTCAGATGCTGCTGCTTTTGCCCAGGAGGTCCTATTGTTTATATATTTTTTTGTTGCAGAGTCTGTCTCTAGGGAAACAGTATATATTATTCTAATTTTTTAAACTACCTGTTTATATATAAAAGAAAAGCCCAGTTGGCTGTCCGGTCCTGTGCTGTGCCCACAGTCTGTAGTTGGCTCCCCCTGTTTGTCACTCATCCAGACAGCTCTGAGGCTGGTGGGGGGCTGCCCTGCTCTTCCCTCGCCTCAGAGCCAGACCAATAAAACAGAGTGGCAGAACCACAGGCTGTGTGTGGTGGCTGGCACTGGGCTGGGCTAAGAGGGGACAGTTTGATAGGAACCCACTGAGGGCTCTGGGAGCCCTTGCACCCCCAGCCATCGCCTGGCCTGGTCCACAGATCAAGCTGTGGGTGGTAAGTGGGGATCCTGATGGCTCATGCCACGGCCACACACACTGGCATGCACTGCACCCCATCCCTGAAGCCCCAAGGCGCACAGCATGACACTGGCCCACATGGTTCCTAACACTTTATTCAGATAAGAGGTCACAAGCCACAGGACTTTCAAGTGCATGAACATCACTGGTGGGAGGACCACATGCCCTCCACACCCGCCACCCCGCTCCATCCGCCATGGCGTGTGGGGTAGAGAGCTCAAGACCCGTCATGAGAAGTGGGGGAAGGGATCAACAGGGACAGGGGGAGGGGTGTGCTGGGGCCTGGAGCTGGAGCTGTGCGCTGAGAAGGCTGGGTGTGCCGCAGCCTGGCCCCCATCCTGGCGGCCAGCTCCCCTGCATTCCAGCCAGGCCTGCTTCCTCCACTCTCCCTGGATAGCTTAGCAGGAACTCGGAGCCCAGGGTCCCGCCTGAAGGCCTCCCTGACACAGCGCATTCCAAGCCCCAGGGAGGGGATGGAGAGGGTAGGGGGCATGCTCCTGCCAGTGTGCTGCGTGTGTGCTTGCACGTCTGTGTCCCACGCAGATCCCTTGGAGGCAGAGTAGCCAGGGGGAATTGTATTTCCTCCTGCGTGAGTGAGCCAGCAGGGGCCAGGGGCCAAGGACACTGAGCCTGCTGTCTGCACGCCCCCAGCTCCACGCCCGGGGCCCCACGGCAGGCCACTCCTGTTGGTTCCTGGTTCTGTTCTTGCTGGCTTCTGCGGTGTCAGGCCAACTCCTCCTCCTGGCCAGCCACACTGGAGGAGAATTTTCCGGCCCACAGGCTCCTCCTGCAGGGGTGGGACTGGGTAGGGGCCCTGAGACCCTGTCTCAGCCGTTACCCCAGTCCCAGACCTTCTCATAGCAATAAAGTGCTTTGTTCTGCACAAACCCCACCCAGGATGATATTGCAGCCTCGAGTAGCCGATCTGCCTGTCTCCGCCACCCTACCCCATGTGTGGTTAAGGCCCTGACCTTCTAACACCTATGGTATTAGGGCGTTTGGCACAGCTTCAGCCCCCACATCTGCAGTCCAGGCCTGTGTCCAGGGACCAGCCTGCCTGCAGCTGGAGGTCAAGCTGTGAGAAGGAGCCAGGCGCCGCCCCTGGCCACAGGGAGGTACACAGAGTTGAACTCTGGGTGCACATGGCAACTGAACTCTGGGTGCCAGCTGCCCTCCCACTCTGTCCAGGGAAGATGGCTCTCTCCTAGTATTGAACCTGGCTTTTGGCTCCACCCTAGGGGTCAGGCAGAGATTGCCAGGGGGAGGAGGTAGCAGCGGCTGGAGACCTATCTCCCTCTGGTTGGTCTGTGCTGCCTGCCAGGCCCTCCTCTAATGTGTGTTGGCCCCAGGCCTGGATATAACTCGGCCTGTTCACTCCATGCTTCGGGCCTCAGAGCTGTGCCTGGCGCCTCCTTCACACCAGGGCCCCGGCCCAGGAACGCTCTACTTGGGGTCATTACCTGTAGGCGCGCAGCCAGGGACTGACCCGTACAACCCCGCAGCCTCCCTCTTCTGCAGCTCTATGCTGCCGCAGTCTCCCCTTTCGCTGAGAAGTGGGATCCCCCCACAGGATGCGGCTGAGGCCTTGCGTTATGGGGAATAGGCAGGTGATTTGTTGATGTGGAAAACACAGGGTACAGGGACAGATGTGGCACTAGTGTGTGTGGAAGCAAAGATGGTGTGGCCACCGCGGGGCTGGAGTGGGGTTGGGACCCAGGAGCTAAAGGACGTCGGTCTCCCGCTCTATCCCCACGTACTTGAGGGCATCGGCCTGGCTGTACCTGTCCCAGGACAGAGGGGAGCCATGTTATTCTGGAGGCTCTCCTGACCCAAGGGCAGCGCTCCCTCCTGAGTCACCCCCTCTCCCCCTATTCAGCCCTCCCCCAGCACCCCACTTTGGAGGCAGGGCCATAGGGTGCAGAGCAGTCCCCACGGCCACCCCACCTGTAGTCGAAGAAGAGCTCTTCCCCGGCTTGAATGGCTCTCTTGGCGAAGATCCCAATGCGATGATCCCCATTCACCATGACCACTGCAGTGGGGACACAGCAGGGCAAGGTGCTGGGGCAACCACCTGGCAGACCTGGGGCTCCTGACCCCAGATTCCCACAAGCGCGCGCGCGCACACACACACACACACACACACCAGTGGACCCGGCCAAGCAGCAGGAACAGGCTTGTCCCTGTGCTCTGAGCTCTGTTAGATGTGATGTGGGCAGAATTATCTTTCAATCATGTTTGTGGGAAAGTGTTTACAACGATGAAAAAGCAGATTATTGAAACTGAACGAGAGGTCTAAAATGATACCATGATTAAATGGCATTAATTGTGATTATCTCTGGATTTGGGGAAAACAAAAAAAAAAAAGAAAGCCCAACTTGAGAAAGAGCTGCACACATCGCGTCTCGGCCTTTTGGTTAAGATCAAGTGATGAGAGCTGCGCAGGGCGCTGTCACAGAAGCGTGTACCCCGCTCACCTCCAAGGCTGCTGGGAACTCACCTTTGGCATAACAGTTGGGATTCACGGAATGGTTTGCAAAACGAATCTTGTTTCCTTTCCGGGTAGCATCCACTACAAAATCTGCACCAAGCATATCGGGGGAAGACAGTGAGTGCACGAGGCAGCTCTGTAGCTTCGTGACTCAGTTAAGCAGTAACAGACCTGGGACCACCCTGGAGGACCTCGTGCCTGGAGTACAGATTTCCACTTCCCATCTACTGGGCATGGACACTGTTTTTAAGGGTTTTTGTTTTTTGTTTTGAAGAAAAAGGATTTATTTCCTCTTCAATTTCTAAGGTACAGTGACAGAGAAAGGGGTGAGGCCTCTTCCGTGTACTGGCTCACTCCCAGAGGCCCAATAACAGCTGAAGCCTGGAGCTCAGGACTGCACCCCAGTCTCCCCCGTAGGTGGCAGAGACCTAAGAACCCAGGCCGGCATCCATGCCTTCCCTGGCACATCCTTATGTGGAACAGGCAGGGAGCTGCACAGAAACAGAAGAGCTGGGACTTGAACCAGCACTGAGATCTGGCACGTAGGCATACCAGGCAATGGTTCAAGCTGGTGTGCCACAACACCCAGCCCAAGCCCAAGCCTAGGTGCTTAGCACTCCTGCTGCAAACGCAATCTGGGAATGGAAGTGTCTCCACATCTGATGGCCTGTGGCCTGCAAGGCTCTCTGAGGGCAAGCTGGAATTGTGCTATGCGTGTGGTCATCTGCACCTAGACTGAAGGGAATGTTCTAGAAAGCCCCGCACAAACTATTCTGTAGGAGGGGGCGGGTGGGAAGGGGCTCCACACCATTGTTGAGGTTGAAGAGGAAGCTGGACATGTACTTGTCGTAGACCTTCCCTCGGCGGTCGGCCTCGTCCTGAGAAATGAGCTGGGGGAGACAAGTGGCAAACATCAGACTCCAGAAAGGATGGGGAGGGCGGCACCACACACAGGCACCTGCTGAGTACCAGGTCACGCTGTGCTGCCCACCCCGGGACTGATGAACCCGATGAGCTGCAGAGCCAGAGGTTTGTTGGAGAAGCCCTGTGGGATCCCCGAGGGCGCCCCACCCTCCCCGCCATGAGAGCCCCGCTGAGTGATTTAGAGATCCTCCACGGAAGCCTGGCCTGCAGACAATCAGTGTTTTTCATCAGTGGCCGCCCAGGCCCGCAGCACTCACCTCACCACAATACTCAGAAATGAACTCGTTCTTCTGCACAGACTCCTTAATGAAGGTGCCCCATCCGGCCACATCTGAAGGGGCTAGCAGCAGGTGCTGGGGGGTGGGAGAGGGAACCACAGCTCAGCCTGCAGCCAAGATGGGGTGTGTGGCAGGGGACAGGGTGGAAAGAACTAGAAACTTAAGAGGATCGGAAAACAGAAAAAAGGCCTGAGCCATTCTGTTGTGATGGAGGAGAGACCGAACAGGGAGGTAGAGAGAGCAAACA